AGAAACAAGTTAAAAAGCCAGCTTCTTCTCCTGGCTGGATTACTTCCAACAATTATTGTTATAGCAGTATTTGAAACAATATCTCATTCTTAGATAGCAGAAAAGATTTTTAAATGTCAAGTACAATGGCTTCAAATTCTACACTTATTTTTTAAAGCAAAAGTGCTTTTTCACTGGTTTGGTGATTCACACTGCAATTCCTCCACTGCTTTACATATGTTATTCTTGGAACTACACAGATGCACAAGTATTCCTAAACAACAACAGACTTTTCAGCATTATTAAGTTTCTCATATATTTTAGACCAAATGCTTAGATTTGTCATGTGCAGTTATGTTAATAGATATCCAACAAAAATATGCATATTGTTCAATTTTTATTTTATTTTTGTAAAGTAAAACAGATTGTTTTACTTCAAACTGAATGAAATTTGTATCTGGTAGAAAAATGTTTTTCTGAGTTCTGAACATTAAAATGTTCTTTCCATGCCCTGAAAGACAGTGTTCAAGAAACCCCCAGCAATGAAATTCTGAAGCAGTATTATTTCATGATTTTACAACTTGAGAAGCACTCAAAATATATGGCAATGGGAGCTGTGAGAAGACTGAGGCACTATACAGAAACAGACATCAGCAATCACTGTATCCCAAAGCGATTACAGGAATGGAAACTGCACTTCAAGGTAAAAGTAATGGAAACTATTCTTCAAGGTAACAGTAAACTCACTCTCACAAAGCAACTTTTACTTTGGAGATTATTTTAATATACACATCTGAACAGTGGAATAAGATAACTAATCCTATTCTGAAACTACATCTTTTTTCAGACATCTCTTGAGGTAAATGATCATTGAAACAGTATAAAAACCCTCCGATTTCTCAGAAAGAAAGAAGAAATAAATTTTAAAAATATCTACACTATGATCAATATTCATTCCCATGTTTGGATTTAACCATCCAAATAATTTAGCAATTAGATATAGTATATACTGTATCAAAACCTAGCTACTCTGTAAAATTATTAGATTATATACCTAACAGTTATGAATTATTAACTACGAATTGGGTTGTATGAAAGTTTAACATTTTTACTGATCAACAGCGTCATAATTTTTCTTCGGAATTTATCAGAATTCATGTGCAACTTCAGTATCTTGATACATACTTATGCCAATTAAATACTGATAAAATACGACCTAGTTAATTAACTGTTATTCACTGATTATTAAAACATCATTCTTTAAATTCCAGCAAAGAAACAAAGCTGAGTAGCTGCTTACTAAAACCCAGATACTCAAGTGAGGCTTTCTTCTTTTTTCATATATGCCCTACTTTTATGAAGATGCAGTAAACCTCAATGTATTCAAAATACCCTCCCTTCCCTTTCTACTTTCCTGTTCTGCCATCCATGTATAAATCTCAGAGGAAAAATCAGTTGATGATCTGTATCTCCAAGCTAGCATTCAATTACTTTCTTCCCTCTAGATTACTTGTCAGGAGAAGCATTCCTGCAGTGTGTATCTGAAAAAGTTCTTCAAACACTGATCAAAACACACAGTTTACAGGCAGCTGCTTACAGTCCCACTTGTGTGATCTAAAACTATGATATAGGTGCACATAGGTTTACCCATAATGTTCATTCCTCACTATTACAGCACTTTTTCCCCAGTTCTTAAAATGATCACTCAGTTTCATTCCCTTCACAGGTAAAGTGGTTTTACTTTATGGTAAAATATAGCATCCTGCTTTTAACAGTTACTTTTTATGAGGAAGACTGACCTTATTAAAAAAAAAAAATACTGAAGACTCTAAGGCTGCTGAAATGGAAGTAGTTTCTCTGAAACAATGGCAAAATTTATGTACTGCATTTCTGACATTTCTGTTTAGAAACCAGCTCCACTTGCCTGGCAGAGATATCAGGTTTAAGAACTCAAGGAACAGCAAGGAGAAACAAACAAACAAACATGGGGGAAAAAAAAAAGATATAATGGGTAAGAAAAATATACGAGTGAAATAGTTTGAAGACAGAGGAAGCTCTCAGCAATGAAAGAGCAGGTAAGATTAAATCTAATGTGAGATACTTACAAAGGGAAGTGCTGTTATCTGCCCACCTGCCCTCAACAAACCCTGTGCTGTGACAGTTGGTGCAAATCTGTTGCAAAGCTACATCTACTTCAGAACCCTGTGTAGCCAAAAACATGGCTATATATACTGATGTGATTACAAACATATCTCTGAGCAAAAGGAGTCTGGGATCAAGGATCAGGGCTTTTTTCACCTGCAATTGGCCTAAGAACAACACAAGGCACAAAGGAGTTCCTTACAACTGAACTATTCTAATCACCAGCAGATAGAAAACTGGCTATTGCTTGTTCATCTAAATGAGTAATGATCACCAAGCATGCAGGTCTGTGGAGATGTACATGTGACTGTTATGATGAAATGTCTTGCACTAGGAAAGGCTAGCAACTGACAAACTTTTCTGCTTCTGATTTTTTTTTGTTTGTTTTAAATTTTTTTACACCAGTAAAAGAGGTTGCAACAAAAAAGAAGTCTTTTAAATATTGTTAACTCTGTACCAGACAGTGTTTGGTAGCAGCAGAAGGCTTTTTCTTCTAATAGCTTTTCTGGCATACACCAAAAGAAAAAGAAAACTGAGAAAAAACAAATTGGCAGATCTGGCAGAATTATTCATAATGAATTATAAATATAACACAGCCTAATGTCTTCCCCTTATCTACAGATTCTTAGGGCTAAATAATTACTATCATTATATTCTTTCTCATGTATTCTAATAAGAGTAAGGACATGTCAGGAATGTCATGTGATACCAGTTTGAAGCCTACTGAAGCCAAGTAGCCAAGCTCAAAATTATTTCTTTTAAAATTGCTACTATTTGTTAGAATTCCCCTTGCTTAATGAAAATTGCATTACCTGGGAAACAGAAGGAGGACACTGAGCCACTAACATAAAGAAGGTATATTTATCAGAAGAGAGACTTAAAAAAAGTTTGGATTAAGATATCACTCAGAGTAGAGTGAAAATGTCTGTTCTTCCACATACTATGTTCTTCTCAGTTGTAACAAATAAAAGGGAGAACAAATAATGACTGTTATATGTTTCATTATCAAATCAAACGTTTTACGTTAAACACTGGCAAGCTCAGGTTAAGAACAGACCCTGCAGGTATTATTTATTTCCTTTATGATCACTGAGAAATTTAAGGGCACAGCATAGTTTTAGATTAACATAATGTATAGTAAACAAAAACTAAATTCCTTACGGTTTGTGACTCAAATATTGCTTTCCCAAGTATATAACATTCCAAAGGGAAGTAATGGATTACCTGGGAGCATCAGGATGCGTAATCTCTGGCCAGAGCAGTTTAGTATTTCATCTACTTTAGGGCTGACTTCACCAGATGCAGACAGAAGTACTTCTCCATTTTAACAAGCATTCCCAGGGAGCATCTGTCAGAACGGAAAAACAAGTGGGTTATTCACTAAGATTTATAGTTAGTAGCCATGTAATACCCAATAGGAAATAATTACTTATGCAGCACAACAGCTGAGCAAGGAATTTTAAAAGGGTCTGCATAATTGACCAGTAGCAGTATCTGAAATAACACTGCTTAGGAAAAGATTAATTTAGTCTCATGCAACAGGGCATAATTCAGCCCTACAGGCATCAGGAAGGCACGTTATCTTACGTCTAGCATTGCAGATTGGACTTAGTGGTATTAGGGGATATTTCTGGTGGCTTTTTTTTTTTTTTTTCTCTCTGAAGCACATAGTATTCGCCATTGCCAGAGGCAGAATATCAAACATTTATCTGCACCTGTTTCCTCCATAATGAAGGATTAATTCAATTTTATAACAATAGGAAAGTCTAGCAATGAGTTTGGGATCAACTAGAAAACAGCTTACTGTAGGCTTCTGCATGTTACTCTAATAAATGCAGCAGCTTGCCTTGGCTTACTCCTTCACTGGGATTAGAATTTTGACATTTACCAATGCAGCAGCCTTGGCTGACCTTGAATGATGCCTTATATATTTATTTAAATATAAACTTCAAGTTCCGTGCTCCCTTTCAAATGGCTAAGAAGGTTGACTTAGTGACAGTGCAGGGTATATAAGTATTGTTTGCTATATTCTATATGAATCTCAACATATGACTAGTTTAGATAAGCAAAGTTTGTGCTCTCTTTTGAAAGCGATAACAGAATTACAGAACCCTGAAAGTTAAGCTAGAAAATGGTTTGCCTCCTATTTTAACGTGGGACTGCTGCAAGATTGTATTATTTGAAAATGATGAAACTAGACTAAGAGGACAAATTTCAGCTTCTGAAATAAATTAAGGGGCACCTGAGCCTCAGTGAATCAAAACAAAAATAAAGGGGTAGTGGTGAGGGGGAACCAAACAGAAGCATTTGGCACATTTCCTCTTGAAAATTAAAAACCTTATGATTTTAAAATGTGGACTACTTTTCTAACAAAGAAATCTTTCCAGCTTGTATGTTAACTTTGGGAGCGAGTTTGTGCCTTCATCATCTATGACCCCCTAGGCTGTTACCTGACATCATATTCACCAGAATCAATAAATATAAAAGATTGTACATGCAGTGAAGCTAAACATGAAAGAGGCAGAAAGAAATTAGCATTTTTTAAGGATGTCTACTTAATATTTTATAAGTTTTTAGGCAACATTGAATTATTCCAGAGTTCCAATTGTGTTCTTTCATTTTAATTTTATAGCACATACTTTTAAATTTCATTTATTTCAACTTTTTATAACAAAAATAATCACTGTACTTATGAGTGTAAAGAAAGTTATTAAGGCATTTAAAATTTAATCAAAACATGCAATTGTTCAGTTCTATTTATGTTTAAACAAACATTATTAAGAACAGAAAACTTCTCAAGCACTACATCTGAAATTTGAGAAGAGTGCATTTTGAAGAAAGCATGCATTCTGCATCAGAATTCTGCTCTCCATCAATCACATCAGTTTCTACTTTCAATTCACAGAATGACAGAGTCACAGAATGACAGAGGTTGGAAGGAATCCTGGGTTGGGTCATCTGCTCCAAACCCCCTGCTCAGTCAGAGCGGTTCAGCAATCCCTCTTGAGAATCAAGAAAAAAAACAAGAATTTACTTTAAAATGAGGAAGAAATTATATTAGCGATGTTGTATTCTTTAGCCATTTTTGATCTCCACTGATCTCCAGTCTCATCATGTTTAACTCACGTTGAATTATGCATTGTACTAGACACTGCTATAGAGTGCAGTGCTGTATATAGCTTCCATAATTCAAATATATGTTTCATAAAGACATTCTAAATATGACCCTCTAGTTCTTTATCTGATGTTTGTCTTTTGTCTGACATTCTCAGCTCTATTTATTAATTTGCTACAGAGGTACAAATTCTGTCCACATTTATTAAGGAAAATGCAAGGAAAATCTCAGAAAGATTACAGTTCAAGATTGAAAAAGAAACCCAATCCACTTTGTTTAGGTATTCTTAAGGAAAATTTCTTGCTACTTTACAGGGCTTGAAAAGTAACAGCCTCTGCAGTCGCTGCATTGAGGCTCAAAACCCTGAGATCCATTCTACTTTTGCTGCTTATTCTTTCTGTAGATGTATGTGATTTTAGGCTGCCATAATTCAACAAGCAAATTCTCCCAGTCAGAAGCAGCTAAGTAGCTATAATACCCCCCGCACTTCAATCTGTAGGCAAAAGTGGCAGGAGATTTCCTTGCTTATTTTCTGATGTTCCTCTCACAGTCAGACATACTCAAAATGAGAAAAGAACAGCTGATTTACTCCTTACAGTTACAGTGTTCCTGAGTATTTTTCATACTGTAAGTTGTATGGCTTGCTGGCTCCTATAAGTACAGCAAGCTTTTTGAAGATTCATCTATTGGTATGACATATTTTCACATTCATACAAAAAGATTTAAGCATATTTGTCTGCCACAGTAGAAGGTTTATAACTGCACAGTCAGAAACCCAGAAGAGTCACCCTGGGTTTCTGAGACTTCCAGAAACGCCCTGGGGTTTTCTTAAATCCTCAATAGGAAGTGAATGGAAAAAAACCTTATGAAATGCCATCAGCATTTCATAATCTCTTATGTCATTCCAAAAACATCAAATACTTGAGTATCTTATAGAAGATTATCTTTTTCTCATCTATCAAGATGGTATCAGTTTATTTGGTAATTTGAAAGACAATTCAAGAGCTTCTCCTGAATCCTAATATTACAAAAAAAAAAAAAAATACACAGCATACATTTGTGGATGACTGTAGAAATCATAGAATTGCAGGGGTTGGAAGGGACTTCAATAGACCATCAAGTCCAAAATCCCTGCTAAAGCAGTTTCCCTACAATAAGTCACGCAGCCAGACAGGTCTTGAATATCTCCATAGAAGGACACTCCACAGCCATTCTGGGCAAACAGTTCCTGTGCTCTGTCACCCTTGCAGTAAAGAAGTTCTTCTGCATGTTGTGCTTCCAGAGTTCAAGTGAAGAGCCTTCCCCACTTCTTTCTGAAAATGTCTACTATTTGTGACTCTGAGTTTTTTGAAATCCTGATAGTATATATTTAGGCTATAACAAACTTTTATACATAAACATCCAAAATTGAATACACAAAGCCCAAACCAGAAACCGAATGCCTTTGTAAACTATTGTAAAATAATGCATAATTGATGAGAATAATTTATGTTACTATATGACCAAATGTAGACATAGGTATGGAATTTGTATCAAGTACAAGTAATATGAGTATATGAAATATGGCAAAGTTTAGACTTCAAATAGAACTACTTTCCCAAATTCTTATTTGCTTACGCATCTGAATTTTCAATATCCATAATCTTGGTTTTTAAATACATCACTGATTTATTTTACAACACAGCATTTGTTACATGTCCGCATTTGAAAATTTCTGTTTTTCAGCATCTGCACGTAAAAGAAAAGAGCTGGCAGAAGTCCACATGAGCACCTTTCAGCAAAGAACTATTTTTGTTGCTGAATGTGTTTTGTATCTTTGCGCATTAATGGATATTCTAAAAGTTATCTGGATTAAGTGTCATCAAAGTTAACGGCCTCTTTTTATAAGACTTTATCTTTTTCATTTTAAGATGTTATTAGAATAATAAAATTGGTGCCTGGTGGGCTGAAAGCAGACTGCCATTTAACATATTTAATGACCATCTGGAGATCATTTTGTTCAAAATTTTATTTTGTACTTCCTCTTAAGCACTTTGTACTTCTTAAAAAGACATCATTTTTCTTTTCTAGTTTGGAAACATGACTGTCCACAAACTCAGGCAATATTTGGCAAATCAAAGGAAAAGACAGGACTTACAGTGCTTGTGGAGAGTTCTGACATGCTCAGGCCCTCCTCACTGATGCTGCCTTCCTGGCCCCTGCTTGGCACTCTGTCAAGGCTGAGCCAGTAGCCTGCGGACAAGAAACCACCTTAAAGATTTATGTTGGGTGCTCACAGTGAGGCTTTGGCAGCAGTGTGACTGCAGAGTTCTGTGAGGTGAGGCCAGGGCTGCCCTGTGCCACACACAGCTGCTTTAGGGCACAGCTGGGTCCAGCAGCAGGGCAGTGTGCTTGAGGGCAAAACACTGCCCAGCATTGAGGAGCAAGGGTAAGAGTGTGAGGAACAGCCCCAGGAACAACCAGGCCAGAGAAGGAGGAGGAGACACACTGGTGCAGGCACTGGAGCAGGGCTTTCCCTGCAGCTTGTGTGGGACCAGCAGGGAGCTGATTATAGCTGGCCATCTCCACACTCCTTGTCCCTACGCTGCATGAGGTACCAGGCAGAGGAGTTAGGAATGAATAACTGAAGTTGATGTTAGAGAAGAAAATGGGGAAAACAAGAAGTATTTTAATATTTGTCTTTGTTTCTCACTACCTAAGTCTATTTTACTTGGCAATAAATTAAATTAATCTTCCCCAGGTTGAGCCCATTTTGTCAGTGACAGAAATTAAGCTCCACATCTTCATCTCACCCCATGAGCTTTCTGATCGTGGTCACTGTTGTGCAATACAGGACCCTTCCCAGTCCTGGGAATTAGAGAATGGCTGAATGGGTGCCTGACTATAATCCAAGATCAAATCACCATGAAACTTAATATTTTCACAGAAATTTACATTATCTTCTACGTTTTTCATGATCAATCTACAATACATCATCCCCTTAGCTATCATCAAATTCTTTTATGAAATCTGTAATCCTAGACCTTAAGCACCAACGACTGCCTTTATTTGAAGTATGACATATTTAAAACTTTTGTCTGAAGACACATAACTTTCCAGATGAATTGAACCAACATTATGTATTTTCTGTCATTATCATGTAGGAATACAAGAAAGTATATTTAGAGCAGAAACTGTGGAGCAAGATAAACAGCAAGAGAAATCAATGCTGAGAACCAAGGGCACAAGCACACCTCCAGAAGAGAAAAACAAAGTCAATTAAGCTGTGTGATAAAGATCCTGATTGGAGGAAGCGTACATGGTGAGGAACTACTCATGACTCTGATAAGTGCCCACACGCACGGTTATGGAGTGTTTGTGGAATGTTTTGTTGACATGTAAAGGCGGGTGAAAAAGTTAAAAGAAAAACTGTGAATGTATATAACACACATTAGAACCAGTACTACACAATTTGGACCATTCACATCTGAGTCCACGCCTCAGACTCTGCATGATCATTTCATCTTTCATTCCTAGCATGTACAGATTGTCTAGAAAGAAAATTAAACTATTATTTGCACATAGACAATGGCAAATATATAAAATATGCTGAATCATAACAGAAGAATTTTTTTTTTCATAATATGCACGATGGATTTGGCTATTTTTATTCTAAAATTTTAAAATGCTAAGTTGTATTTAATAACCTTATTAATTGCAGATAAATTTAGGTTAATTTATTTTTTCCCCTATGCGTTTCAAATTTCTTCTATTTATGGAAGTTGTCTTTTACTGCCTGACTTTGAGCATCTCTTTTAGCAGATAGTCTGCATTACAAGTATTAGTTGTTAATAATACGATTATTTTCTTCTGAAAAGAAATACAGAAAGGAATGCCAACTTGGTCATCACACAGTGTTTATACTGGATCACTGGCAGCATTGTCATAAAACATTTCTCTTTCCCTGCCTTGCAGGTTTTAACATTGCATTCATTAGTAAAATAATTAAGTAGTAATGTTTTTTTATTCGGAAATAAATTGCTAATATGCTTAAATAATTAGTGTTAATTTATTGTTATCCCTTCAGGATTTTGTGCTCTGGAATTTTAAACTGCTAATTGATCCGCCTGTTATCAATTAAAAGTAGAAAACGCAAGACAAATATATATTGTTATGTATTTGCAAAACAGACAAAACACACACAAACTATGAAACAAAACAAAAAAGTGAAATAAGTGAAAATAGAACTATGTTGTCAGCAACTGTGAGACCCCCCACGGGATGTGACGCGATAGGCCCTCTCCCTGCTCTATGACTGATGTGAGGCACACGCCCTTAGGGGCACAGACGAAGCACATAGGTTATATAAGCTAGAGTTCATGTGTAATAAAGGCCATTTTGCTGTTCATCATATTGGTGTGTACGTGCAGTCATTTGGTCCTGGCCTGGTTTTAGGTCAGTACCATAGGAGGCAATGCAACAGAACTACAAGCAAGTTTGGCACACTCTCTATGTCTTTGCATTTTGATCACTGTTTATCTTTTCTAGTCTTTTTGTTTTTTTGTTTTCCAAATAATGAATTCCTTACAGTGTTTTGTGTTGTTCTCACCAAAACAGTTGCTTGCTGTTTAGATTATTAGGTAGCAGACAACTTTCTGAGAAGATGTCTAAAGAAGCAATGTAAAATTTTGCTAAATATACAACTTATAAACTGAATTAATTTATTTTACATGAGTAATAAAGGGGGAAGATAGAAACATCTTTTCAGGCCAACTATTGAGAAAAAAAAGAGAAAAGAACACATTCAGAGTTGTAAGAGATTATTCTTTTGCACCATTGTCTCAAAGTTTGCTGAGGAACCACTGATGGACACATCCTGGGCAAGGGTTGAGAAATCCTTTGTCTGAGGGACACAGATGGACAAGGCCAGGCAAGTCCTGGTCAAAGTTGGTGAAATGTTTTGTCTGAAGATTTGCAGGCCAGGGGCAATGAGAGAGAGAGAGAGAGAGAGAGAGAGAGAGAGAGAGAGAGAGAGAGAGAGAGAGA